ACCGAAAAATGATAAGTCCATAACACTAGAGGATAAAAAAATACGAAAAATGAAAAATAAGGCCACTTATAAAATTTTAATTTCCAAGTGGTCTTAATATTCTCACTGCAAGACAATAAGTCCACTTAGATAAAATCAAAATTTAAGGTGAAATAATTATTTATAACTGACAAATACGGTTTGGGGAACCTGTTAACAGAAAACAGAAAACAGCTGTTTTTCGACAAAAATCTGTTAACAGAAAACAGGTCTCAAAAACAGATCTGTTTTCTGTTTTTCATTTTTACATATAATTTACAGAAAAAAAATTTCTTAATTTTTTCAAGAACTTAATTTATTTTTCTAGAATTCCAAATTGAAATGTATTTACTTTTTTAATATTTTTTGGATGTTTAATAGGTTTGAAATCATTATCAAATTTATGATTAATCATTATTAATTTTGCAATCGAAATTTTAAATTTGTTGAACCTTTCGTAGCATTCACTAAAGTTCAAAAATATAATCAACAATTTTACAAAAAAATTTTTTGGAAAGATTTTTTTTAATATTTAAAATAAAATATTAGAGTTTATGGAACTTTTACAATGCAAAAATGCAATGTTTACCATTAAGTATAAAAAGTTTGCTCGGATTGAGATTTGATAATTGATTTTAAGAAATTGATCCTTCTCATCCTTTAAGTTGGGTTTACAACTAAGAGGATTTCAAATAGAATTCAAATATTAAAAGTTTGTTAATAAGTAAAAGTGAATCGAGATAAAATAAATGCAAATAATCATTTATAATTATGATTTAATTACTGTAGATTAAAAGTTCGCTGCAACTATCAATCTACTTACAGAATTGCTCAATTAATAAATGTTCAATAAAATGAACTGAAATGAAATAAACTTATGAATGTTCACACGACCGTTACAACTAAAACGAATTAAATTAAATAAGTCTGTCGTTCCAGAAAAATCCGTTCCAAATATTACTTCCAAAAATGTATTTTCCAAATAAATATTTTCGAAAAAATTATTTTCCAGATAATTGTGTTTATAAGTGGAAAATGAAAGTTTATAAGTGGCCTTATTGTCCCTTTGTGATTTTTCATTTTTCGGATTTTTTATCCTCTAGTGTTATGGACTTATCATTTTACGGTGCAATTGTGTAGCCCCCACAAATTTGGGGGACAAAATTGTTTTAATTTATGGAAATCCATGAACATCCAAAGAAATCTATGGAATTCCATGATTTTTAAAGATTTTCTATAATCTATAGAAATCCATGTAATTTGAAGGTTTCCTATAATCCATAGAATTCCATAGAAATCCATGGATATCCATGGATTCTGCCAGATGATCCGCACCCGTACTTTCGACAACTGCACAAACTTTACTTTACATCACGTAAGATGAGAATTAATTACCATTTATCCATATTTAGTCAGTGTTTATTTTCCTTCAATATTTCATGCTCCATATTTTCAATTTTTTGCGCGTCATTTCACGATTGTCATGTCATTGTCGCGCGATCATCTTTAAAAATGAATAGGATTACTTAATTGTCTTACATTCTTCTGAGCTGGCTTAGTCTTTCATATAGAAAATCTAACTACGTAGTTAATCAAGCAAGAGACAAAGAGTAAATACATGAATTCTGATTGTAGACATCCATAAATGGATCACTGGACCTCACTCATTATTCGCCTTAAATTGAGCATGTAAAGAATTGGATTTGAAAGTCATTCATTCTTCAGCTTCCATTGAACGTTGAACGAGAGACGATTTACAAGTTTGGAGTGCTTGATCTGAATAAGAAAATTGACATCGGCTTCTAAAGATGGTGAAAGAGGCACAACTGAGGAGATTACTTTCATTTTTAAGAAATGTTTTGTTCGTTTCTTCTTTTAAAGATTTTCTGTGGACGATTCAATGTCCAATGACTGCAAAATTTTGTTTAGATATTAGCCAGCCTACGACATTTTAGCATCTAAATCATTCTTAAAAATTGTAGTGATGCCAATTTTTTTTAATTTGAAAAGGAAGTATTTAGAAATTCTGGGGTTGAAGCTTATGTGCGCATCTAGAATTGACAAAGATTTAATGTGCAATAATAACTTCTTAAATTTTCCGGAAATTTACAAAAACTTCAGAAAATTGAACATTCAAGTTCATCAAATAAATGATTCTGAAGCTCTAGTCCAGTTATTGAATGTATTTTTAAAAGGAATCGACATCATTATCATATAAATTGACAATCGCTTTTAAATGTAATTTACAAAATAAAAAATGTATAATAAAAAGAATGACTGTATACTTATAAAGAGATATTCAAAAAATTGATACAAAAAAGTTTGATATTGTAATACACGTGATCATTAGATGGCGCTTTTTTTGGAGGTGTTGAATTTTTGTTGATTATTGGTAAATATAAGGTGATGATTATTGTAATTATTATTAATATTTTGGCAAGTGTCTTGTGAATTTACTTTGCTATGTTAATTAAGGGTGTCGCTTGAATTGATTGTCTTAGGTTTTAAAAATATTTATCTGTCAGTATGCTAACCTAGCAATCATCCCTAGCAGCTGATATAAAGTTCTAATTAGTAATCGTTCTCTAGAAAGTGCAATTCTTGTTTAAACAGGACATAAATAATTTAAAATTCCGACAAATTCAATGACGCTTCTTTTGCATTATTCTATACACACAAAAACACAAAATTCAATGAAAATCCATTAAGGTTATTTACCGAACTCATTTCAGAACGTTCTGACTTTTATTCTCGAAACGCCACTTTATTCACAGCCCAAAAACATTCATTAATTCTGCAATAAAATTCTCGTAAAAATCCTCGACTTGTCAAAAAAGATCCTATAAATAACAGTCAATCAACTCAATCAGGCGTAGAGCTCAAATGAATTGTGCAAACATTTTATCCATATTTGCATCGTCGCATCGCTAAGACAGCAAATTATATGACTTTTCACCAATCCAGTCGACTTATAAGTTGCTGAACCAATAATTCATATTTTTTGACCTAATATTTGAGATATATTTGCGGAAGCTGGCAGACATAACTAGAATAGTTAAAGCTTTGGCTTCAAAAATAGGGAAAAAAATGTAGTAATTTGGCAAATATGGAATTTCACTTGAAACTTGTCATATTGGAGACATTAGCAATTCCACAACAGAAATAAAAAAAAAATTGCACAAGTTTTGAACTGGAAAAAATAATCATTTTTAATACTCAACGCGGCGATCTTGACTTTGTGTTAAAAAAAATATGGCATGTGCAAAAAAAGTCGTAGCATTGATTAATTTCCATTTATGGCGATGCCCCTCTCATGTTTGAAAATAAAATATTTATTATTGTACAGAAAGAGAAGAAAAAAAAATCTTATTAATATTGCTGAACAAAAAAAAAATCAGGAAATGTATGGCAATTTGATGTCGATGTCTGTAGACATGACTATTCAACAGTGCCAATTAATATCGCACAATGAAAGTGAGAAAAAAAAAAAATCGATTCGAGAGATCATTGAACACTTTTCACGAAACGCATTGTTCTTAGCCTTCCACATTCGATACTTATTGAATTATTGGCAAGGAACAGTCTATTATTATTATGTCTTCAACATTGTAACAATGTTATGTGAGCGGTTTAGCTCTTGGTTGGTAAGAGTTTTATGATTTCGTGCATGCGCTACACTGTTGATGTCTATTTTGCTTGACATTGGAGCCCGATGGCAATTATAGCACCCGCAATAACAACAGTAACATGAAAATATCCAAGACAAGGAGAATGCACGGTAAACAATGGCTTTGTGTTTGCACATTCTTGAGATATAGTCAGGAAAGTATAGAAGATTAAATTATAAATGATTTATTACATGTTACGGTAGCGCCACTGACTTGTCAAAAGCATATAAACAGATCTTTCTTTGTTGATTCCAACATTCCAGCAACTTCATCAGCTCTGCTATTTTAATTCAAATTAGAGCTCTTTGAATGTTTTTTTCTTCTCATGTGTGTAATATGTAAATAGCTAACAATATCACAACAATGGATCATTTAATGCGTCATCGTGGATTATTCTGTGGAAAAATAAATAACATTTTTCTCTATGAATCAGCTGTATACATGCTGTATTCACATATGAAGAGAAAAATAAAATTGAGTGATTGATTAATGTGAACTGTTACAATTATGGCACGTTTATGTGCATGTGTTGTGCTTTGAACTTGAACTTGATATTGAAAAATTGTAGCTGTCGTGCAGTTGCTTGATGAATAATGATTGGTTGAATTATTTTCGAGAAGTTAAAGATTTATAGTGTGGAATAAGGAATAGGAAATAGAACACAAGTCTTTATGTCAGACAAGACGGAACTTGAATCTGTCGGATTTATTTTATTATGCAACATTTAATTTATTTTAGAATTTCAAATTTTTTGCACCAAATTTGGTTAATGAGTTTTGAACTTTTGTTTTCAGTATATTGTAAAATATGAAATTCTTTTAGGAAAAAGCAGCTTTCTAGAACTTTTAAATTTTATCTTTACATCGCCAAATCTTCTTAATTTACAAACAAATCTAATAGCACAGCTTAACATCACACAATCAAACTTGATAATTTATCTCCGAATCTTACTTAATTTGAAAGTGAAAACAATCCCAACATATCCATATAAGCAATCAAGCAAGTAAAGGAAAGAGAACACAAATAAGGCAACAAGAACACAAAGTTGTCGTAGATTATAAATTCTAACTCTCATTTTCTAAGTTTCACACATTTTATCAATAAATCATTCATATTTTGCTCCTGTTTTCAGTTTATTGTGTAGTTTGCATGTTTAAATCACTTTAAAAATAATTTATTACTAAGTTGTTGCTTCATTAGAAATTCCATTCAATACTTGAACAAAGTCTTCTAAAAATAGCTTAATTTGTTGACTTTTTTGTTTTGAGACGCGACGAAAATTTTTAATTATTCTTTTCATTTCTCTTTCAACAGTTCGAACGTGACAACATTGGGTAGATTCAGCAAGAGCACAAATCGCTTAACATCGAATGGTCTAACATCAACGCCATCGTCTAAAAATGGATATGAATCTGTGGCACTTAACGAGTCGAATGAAAATTATCGAAGCTCACAGACATTACCACGCAAGTTGGAACATCATAAGCAAAAACCGATTTCTCAGTCAACTATAAATGTATCGATTGTAAATAATGTCAAGAATCATCCAGTGCAGAATACAGGCCCAGCTAAACCGGCACGTACATACAAAGCATTACAACGCAGCAAGAGCTTCAATGTGCACGGAATGAATGGCACGAATGATCCAAGTCCAATATACATGGAGAAATTGACAAATAATAATTATAAGAACTATCCGATGGGACAGCAGAAAATTATTGAAAATCCAACGCCGGAACGAGTCATTACCACAACCACAACACATCATTCGATCTATAAATCTACACCACACTTGAATGGCCATTTAAATGAAATAAAGTTAAAATCACCATCAATTGTAAATTTAATCAGTCGAAGCACACGCGACTTGACACAATTGAATGGAAGTGATCATCAGTATATTGATCGTCGCTACAATTCCTCGCCATTTACTAATGATATAAAGAAGTCAACAAATGGACGCAATGGTATTGAAGAAGAAGTTTTGTCTAGAAATATAAAGTTTGCTGAACGCGACTCATCAGGCTCAAAAGCATCGTCACGCTCATCGCCAATTGTTGGAAAAGATTCGCCAATTGGAATTTTAAGACGCAGCTCTAATTCAACAGACAATGACAATTACAGTGAAACATTTAAATATCAGACATTGTCAAACGATCCAGTAAATCCAACAGTAACAGACACAGTCGAGACATTCACAAAGAAGACAATAATACCAGGTGATCAAGTAGATGCGCGCACAAAAAAGGAGACAGTTGTCGAGCGTCATGAAATCAAGAAGGTCACAACAAGTCGCCATCTTGGCTCACCATCACCAACCAGTCTTAAATATTACGATATAAATCATCAAAAGAATGGAAATGGAGGAGTTGTAATTGAACTAAGAAATAATTATTAATTTGAAGAAAAAAAACAGAAACTTTTATTTAGGATTTGTAAGTGACACGAAGGAGACGAAGATGAAGAAAAATAAAAAAAAAATTATATCTTTTTCAGGTTAGAATTAAGTGTGATTCGTAAAAAAAATATTACACAAAAATCAATGATGATAATAACGAGTTACTGATAAAGCAGTATGAATCAGTGCCTTTTGCCGATAATTTACTTCGGTTATCATATGCTTTTTTATCTACTTTATTTTATGAAATCTTTTTTCTCTGTTTATGGAATTTATCACTATTTCCAACTTATTACTTAATTTTTACGTGACGGAATTTTTTATTATTTTGAATCTTAATTCTGCTTTTGGATAAAAAAAATATTCTTTTAAATTTTCAAAATGTTGGAGCTGATTTTACTAAAAATGGAAGTTAAACTTTGGATTAAAATGTTTTAAAAGAGAAAAAAAATTAATTTTGAATTAGAATTTACAACAAAAAATCCATTGCAGCTCTTTTCTATTTAAAATATTCTTTGCATAAATTTTTATTATGTCATATTGAATTAAGATTAATAAGGTTGTCTATTAATTAAATGAAATATAATTTCAATACACACATGCATACCTACATACATTACTAATTATTTTAATATACTTAATAATGTAACACGAGTAAAAATTGAAAGATAAATTCAAAAAAAAAGTAAAATTTTGTAATGAGAAATGTTGACAAAAAAAATATTGAAATCAATAAAAATAAAAGTTTATCTTTTTAACAAGCAAATTTGTGGGAAATTTTTATTTCTTTTTCAGATCAAAAATGTTCGACTTGATTAACTCTAATTTTAATTCTATTTCTAATTCTTAGCATAATTTTATATAGCTATCATAATTTTATTCTGAAGCTTAACACTTTACAATCATTTTCATAATAATAAGCTTATAAGTAGTGAGCTTTTAGAAAACAAAAGCTATTACTAGCTTTTTAAAAAATAAATACGTAAACGTCAAAACCAAAGTATCTGCAAAGCTTGAGCTACAGTTGTTTACGTTTTTATTTCAAGGTCATTCACTCACACATTCAATAACTTTGTTGCTACATACATTCAGATAACGAAAACAAAAACTAGCAAAATATTATTTTTTCACATCAGTTGCTTTTATGATACCGGCAAATAAAGATGGAAAATTTAGTGACAGTTCCCACTGAATACGGTCCAATTAATGGATGTAAGAAAACATCAATTTTAGGTAGAGAATACTATAATTTTGAAAAAATTCCGTATATGAAGGCACCGATCGGGAAATTAAGATTTGTTGATCCTCAGCCACCTGAAAATTGGATTGAGCCATTAGATTGCACTAAAGATGGTCCACCATTTTGTAATGTCTTCTTTGCTGATCAAAAATATCAAGGAGAACTAAGTGGTGTTCATATTAATGTATTTACAAACAATATTGATCCAAAAGTTCCATATCCAGTTCTTGTATGGATTCATGGAGGTGGTGTTGTAACCGGTAATGCATCTGAAGAATTTAATGGTCCTGATTATTTGATGCAGAAGGATGTGGTTGTTGTAACATTTCAATATAGAATTGGTGTCTTTGGATTTTTGAGTCTTGAAGATCCAGAACTGAATATTCCGGGAAACGCCCAATTTAGAGATCATATTTGTGCATTAAAGTGGATCCAAAAGAATATTTCTAATTTCGGTGGAGATCCTAATAATGTCACACTGTTTGGAGAAAGTTGGGGAGGTGGAAGTACCAGCTATCATCTAATTTCTGACCAATCTAAAGGTCTTTTTCACAAAGCAATATTAATGTCTGGAACAGCATTAAATAATATTTATACTTTCTTTCCAAGACGTAACTGGGCATTAAGACTATGTCAGAAGATGGGATATGAAGGTCCAGACGATGAGAAAAGTCTATTGGAATTTCTGGAGACTGCTGATGAAAGAGAAATTGTTATGGTATCAGGACAAGTTATGACTGATGAGGAGAAGAACTTTGATGGATATATATGTGCATTTGGTCCAACAATCGAGCCATACAATAATGGAAATGCATTTCTCACTGATGACATAATCAAAATGTCAAAAACTGCATGGGGAAATGATATTGACATAATGATTGGAAATACAAGCAATGAAATGTTGATGCTTAGTCTTTGTGCAAATATGCCTGCATTTTTTGACACATATAAATGTTTTCAGCGCTATGTTCCAAGAGAATTCGAATTGCCTGTCAATTCTGAAAAGAGATTAAAGTATGCAGACTTGATTCAGAAAAATTATTATGGTGAGGAAGAAGTGTCAGTTGATAACGTAAATGGATTAATGGGTGTCAATAATGATTCCATCTTATGGCATCCTACATATCGCATTCTCATGTCTAGATTGGCAAATGGAAGAGGAAAGTCTTTTGCTTATCGCTTTGATTACGTTACTAATAACAACTTAATGCGAGCTAAGTACAACATTGATGAAAAGTTACCAGAAGCAGCACATGGAGATGACTGCGCATACCTATTTAGAATGAAAGGAATGGAATATGAAAACTTTTCATTGCCTATTAATTCTCCAGCATTCGATGGAATCAAGTTGATGGCATCAATTGTCACTAATTTTGCTAAACTAGGAAATCCAAATGTTCCTGAATTGAAAGATGTCAATTGGATACCATGCAGCATAGAATCACCACTTTACGGACTTAATATCAACGAAAATGGAAGTAAAATGATGGAATTCCCTGAATATGAGAGATTTAAAGTTTTCAATCAATTATTCGAGGATGAAAATAAAATTTTATATTAATGTACAGCACAGTGCATAGACAAAAGGGGCAGTTTTCTACATGAATTTTCCATATAACATTTTATTCTCTTCATCTACAAGAACAAACTTCTTTTGTCCATTTAAAAATTTATAATTCACATCAGTCAATATAAAAAAAAATTATAATAAATATAAATCGATGCATTTGTATCCATATCCCGTATAAATTTTTCTTCCATTATTTTTATTATATCCTCATATATTTCTAATTATTTAATTAAGCTTTGAGTTTTCATGTTCAAAATATTCGTTGAATCCAGTGTGTATGCAGTCAATCATATCAACTGCAGTCATACTTCGTCCATACTTTTCATATGCTAATCTGTTGCAGTATTTAATGAGATATGTAGCACCATAGCAAGCAGCAATTGCTGGATTGAAATCGTGAATTGGTTGACCAGAATTGTCTTTATTGGTGAGATTCAATGCCCAGTGATAGAATACAGCAACAGCACCAGCGAGTAAATCACCTTGACCACCACATCGCCTATGAATTTTATGGGAGATATAGCAACATTAATCGAATAAAACAGCATTAATTCATTACCTATTAGTTCCACCTTGAGGACACTCAACTTTCGACATCGTCTCAGTATCATAAATTCTGTCATTCATTGCTTTCTCCAACACAATTACATTTTTACCGATTTTCTCAGACAATGCATGCAACTTTTCATTCGTATCACCAATCAATCTAAAGAGTTCCATTGCATTAGGTGTCAATATTACATTCTGATAATCATTAAGTAACGATGTGTTTTGTGTAATTAGAAAAAGCCCATCAGCATCGATAACGAGTGGTTTCTGACTCTTCTTACAGCACATAATTAATTCTGAGACTGTGTGAAGAATGTTTCTGTCACGACCCAAACCACTTCCGATGACTAAAACATGAAGTCGAGATAGCCATGGTTCAATCAAGTCTAATGCATTGTCACTGAATATTGAATGAGAAAATGAATTTTTTATGGCTGATATAAATTTTTTATGTGAATCTTACGAATCAAGTAATGGATGAACAATGAGTTCTGGAGAATAGCTTTTAATTGCAAGAGCAGCTGATTGTGGACAAAAAATGTGAACGAGATCACAACCGACTTTTAAAGCAGCAATTCCAGCATAGTATGGAGCTCCTGTGTATTCTAAAGATCCACCAATAATTCCAATACGACCAGCTTCACCTTTGTGCATATCATTTGTGAGCTTTGGAACTGTGAATATTACACATTAAGGTCATAAAAATCAGTTTAATATTTTTAAAATCAAAGTTTTTATTTATTATGGCAATAACCGGCCTCTCAGCTGATTTTATAGAAACGACAATTTACCAATTTTTTTGGCTCGTTCCATCCATATGTCTTTGTGATTCTCACTCATCATTGAAAAGCTACGAAACACTGTTCTATTAAATTGATTAAAAACTTTAAAACCTTGTTTTCTGAATGTATTCATGAACAGTGTTTTGTTTTTTCTTTCTTTCCAGTTCTTACGTCTATATAGTCTATAAATCAAGAACAGAGCGAATTTGCAAGTAATTTTTCCTCGGACGTGAAGTTTAAAATAAAAAGGACTAGTAATATTATATTGACACAAAAAAATATTTTTATTTACACTTTAAATCGATTCTTAAGATAATTTATCATCTCCTTATTATTTTTTTAAAAATATTTATCAGACCATCGTTTGTTCGTTGCTATTCATTCGTAGAGATATTATCTAATGGCATCCACAACTTTTAACTACCATATTTTTGTATTTCTTTAGATTGACATTTGAGTCATCGAGATAGTAGAGGACAGAAATTGCACTTAATTTTGTTGGTGCACAACAAGGCTTTGGAACCTAAAAAATTTTAATGTCATTAATAAAACTTCTTAAATGAGCTGTGACTAGATTACAATCTTATAGATTTAAAAGATTCTATAGATTTACCTTTGTCGGATGCATGAGATGAACTAATGTTTGAACAATCGCATGATTTGTAGCATTCATGTGTGCATTAAGTGGGAAATTACATTCACCAGCACAGTAGAAAGCACCATAACCATCAGGTGCAATGATCCAATCTTGCCACTTCAAGTCCTTAAAGCTAACATAAAGTGTTTGTATTTGACATGATTTTGGATTATTTTCACCCGGATGAAGAAGTGGATTTGGTCTGTCTGACTTCTTTTTTCTTTGATTTCGATTACCTGCTTGACGCTTCGTTCGCGAATGGTGATGCTTTGTGGGCTGTTTTGGCTTTATCATCTAGAAAATTAGCAGTTGTTAATTTTTTGTGTACATTATTTAAGGATGTCAAGTAAATTACCTCTTGACCCTTGAAGAATCCAACCATAAATGGCTGAAACTCATCATCACCACGCGGACTCACTAATCCAATGTCATCCATTCTAAGATCTTTGTCAGGTCGTTCAATTAAATTTGCTTTTATCACAAACCCATAATTACTTTCTTTATCCTCAATCCATTCCTTTAAAGCCATCGTGACATTCAATTCCAACCATCCATCAGCATGCGTCGTTGTATTGACTGATGACAACAACTTAAGGTCTTCGTGACTAAAGAGTAGATGGAAATGATTAACAAATTGATTTATTTATTTATTTATTGCCATTTATTGTTTGGTCTTCTTACTCATTTCTTATGTCAGCTTTGTAGAGTCGCACTGTCACTTGCTTTTCCTCATCGTATTTACTAAATAGTGAATTTTGATACAATCTCAGTTCAGCCATCATAAGTGAAACGTCATTACCAATTTCTGAAGTATCAAACCACAATTTTCTGCCGTGAGTATGCCGCATTTCAGGGACGTGATGGTCTAGACGAAAATAAAAGTAAATTGCATTCTTTTGGAAAGCCATAAAAAGTCATTCAGTTACTTACTTTTGTTTAAGAAAGTCATAATTATGTCAGATTGGTCAATTGCATACTGATCAGCAGGACTTATGTATATCTCATTGTCATTTATGTCACGTTTCACCCTCGTATTATCAACGTCTTCTTCATCTGTTGTCAATTTCTTATAAATATCCAATAGAAATTGTGGTGCTGATTTTCTGTAGAAATATTCATTGATATTTGGTTCAAATCATTAGTTCAGGTTGTTGGCAGTGTGGATTAAACATTTTTTTATATTAATTGTGTAAACAAGAAAGACTGTGGATGAATTTTTTAATGAGATCACTTGAATGTTGCTTTGAAATTTGCAAAAATGTGTAGTTGACTTGATAGTATCAAGTTTTTGACTTTTTCTAGCTTCAAAATGTTTCATTTCTTTATGGATTTTAATTTGTTTTTTTGTTCAAGGTCAAAATTAGCGATCAAGGCAACTCAAAAGGTTTATAATATTTTTGTAGGTTCTTGAAAAGTTTGACAGATTTTTTAAAAAAGATAAAATGCACTTTATGGACATTTCTCTCTTTAGAATCTCCTTTTTAATAAACATTTATTTCCAAATATCCTGTAATATGTAAACAAACCAATAAGACAGAAATAAATGTTTATAAGTTTTACTAAGCATGGGAAACTGATCAAACACTTTTTGATAAATTTTTATAAATTCCACATCTTTAAGTTTAACCCCAAAAGTCTTATTCTTCATACAAGAGAAGATAACAGCTAATTTCAAATGCAAATTTTGGTATATTTCGGTATAAAAATGTTGATTAAGTGTTAGCACGAGATGCAAAAAAGATTAACACTCAATTGCAACATTGATCTTGAAATTTTTGTAATTTCCCAAAAATACAAAATTCATTTGTCAATGAATATTTTTTAAATTTTTTTATTTATTCCTTCAAATATTATGTTTATCCTGCTTTCTAAGGATTACTCTACAGTTTTAGAAGTTATTTGAATCGTTTTGATGTTCAAGGTCATTTGATTCAGTGCAAATGTCTCCAAGTTTTTTGAAGAATATTAGAATAATTGAAAAAAAAATGTTTTCGAATCATAAAGATTTTTGGGATATAAACCTTAACATTAAAAATCTCACAGGTTCTATGAAACAAAATCCTATTTCTTTAGCAGCATAATATTGTTACGATATTAAAATTCTTAAAAAAACATTTGAATAGCTTCAAAGTTTAAGAATCAATTTAAACTCTTTGAAATCTTTTGAAAAATTATTTTAAATTTGGTTAAAATCTTTTAAATTCTTTCAGAAAAGTTCAAATTTGATAGCTTAATTTTTATATAAATATATAGAGATTTGAACGAAAACAGACGGTTCTGTTAAATAAATCAACACCATTTAATTATTTTCAAATTATCCAAGAACAGATTTTATAAGTTTGTTTAATCTTTACAAAATAAGCCAAAGAGAGACAATTTCAAACTTTAATCCACAAAAGTTTCCAACTATTCGAAAAGAACAATAAGTTCCAGGAATCTATTTTTAACCAAAACATCACAAAATTCAATCCGATTACTTTACATTTGTTACTCATATTGCAGCGATTTACAGTAAATTACATAATTGTGATCGAATTGCAGCATCATTGATTGTATATTTGCTTAAAGCTTGCATGTCACTGGTTTTGAAAAAAACTTTCCATATAATAAAAATATTATATGATATTTTAATGTCTCAATTGCGGATTTGAGTACAGTTTGGTTTGCTTTTTTTGAGTCGGATTAATATTTTAAGATTTGAGGATGTGTTTTGGAAGATTTGCATGCATTCAGTGAAGTTGCAAGGAGAAGTCTTTTAGAGCAACAGGCATGAGATATTCTATAATGATGCTCAAAATCACGGAATGGTTCAATAAAATTAACAACAGGACAAATTGTTTAATTCTGCAACAGTTTTACATATGCTCAACACTTTAAGGTAATGGCACAAAGTTTAAGAACCACTGTCTTTGGTCCTTTTTTCAAAAATAATTTTTAAGAACATTCTTCAATGATACCAACTAAAACTGTTGATCTTTAAACTATTTATATCCTCAAAACCTGCAAAATGTTCAAAAAAGTGCTAACCTATCGCCTTCCCCAAAGCTAGACTTCATTTCTGAATGAACCATTAATGTTTGCCACACAAAACGAATCGTGCCAATTCACTGCATGAATAAATCATAAACGCCTACCTTAATGAAGGATGTATATGCCTCTTTCTTGGTCTATCAGGTAATCCAAGAAGTTCAAGTATCTCATGCTCTACTTCGTGCGTCTCATCTCCTGATAACTGATGATGTAATACAGTTTGTTGTCCATTATCAACATAAATCCCCGAAAACGATGCATAAACACAATAAATAAACGTGAGTATCATAAAATTCACGAGAATAATGTTCTGTATGCTGCAAGCCATGTTATTCACTTTTAAATTGAAAATTTCTTTATTTTTTCCGCGAAACTTTTTTTTCTTTTCGTCTTTTTTTTTAAAAAAAACGATCGTCTTGTGGTGTTTTTCTGGAAATCTTAAAACTCTTTTATTATTATTATTTATTTTTTGTTTTATTTGTCTTGTCTCTCTGCGCCTTCTTTTTTATTACTCCTTATTTTATTTTTTTTTTCACTGTAATTTAACTCAGCTCTCTTCTTCTCTTTTAATTTTTTTTTGTGTGCTGCTGCTTATAATTTTTTTTTCTTCTTTAAGCAGCAACAAACAGCAGTAAAACTTGATCTCAAGAATGTTCACGAGATTCAAACAATAACAACAACAACAATGAAATATTTTAAAGTTAATTAATTGTGAATTATTTTAATATCTTGCACACTAGCTTCACTTATTTATCACTAGCTTCACTTGAATATCCTCAATATAATGTAAAATAATTTTTCAAACGTCCGAAAAAAATGCGCTCATGCGAGCAATCTTGACTACATCTTTCATTAACGAAGAAATAATAAAAACTGTTGAATGCTATTGGAAACAAAAGGTATAAGAGGCACACTTGAGAGTGAGAGAAAATACCTGACTTAATGTGTATATGGATATACTCATGCATGTGTTTGTAGTTAATAAACTTTATATTTTTTTTTGTTGCTCTACTCAAAGTATCCACGCCTCCCGAGTGTGTATAGAGGAACAGGGTAGCACTTAATCTTGTTGACTTAATATCCGCGCGGAACATATATGTATGATTTAATTACAAACTCGCTATAGTCAGAATGTCTACTATTGCATTCACGTTTTGGTCAACTTCACTCGCTTGCTATTTCTTCCTTCTTATTTTCTTCTGTGTATATAGTTTTTGCTCTTTTTCTCTCTCACTTGCCCGCTGAATTCTCTTTCCATCTCCAGCTATAGTTTTTTTTTTTGATGTGATGATGAGCTTATAAGAATAATTTCTACATATATATTTACATTTTTGACGTAATATAATAAGGAAATAATTAATTGCTCTTGATTCCGCACGAGTTAATCAGAAAATATACAATAAAGTCAACTCAAGTATTATTTTATTCTACTAGCTCACATTTTTCATCTTACGTTGTCCGCGGTCATTTGATTACTGAATGAATTTTTTTTTCTGTTTCTGTTCGTTTGATAACAACAATTATGAACTAATTATTTATGAGAGTATGTTAATGTGTTCATTACATACTCCTTTATAGTCGCGCTCATTTGATAGTGATGAAAATAATAATAATAATGAACAGCTGAACGTTGTCTTTGACAATTTTAGCTTAGTTTTATGAGAATTTTCAGTTGTGTAAGTTGCGCTTTGTCTTGAAACTTGTTTATTTGGCATTGAAGGGTTTGTATGATTATTGTGGTTTTGATTAATTCATATATCGTTTTAGCTTAATGAATTGTCTTGATTTAAAGCTTTAATTCTTTAGATGATGATCATTAAGTTCTTGATATTGCGTAATCGAATTGTTGAAACCTGAGTTTAAGTAAAACATGTTTAATTATCAAACAAAATTAAGTTCATGTTAAACTGTTGGGAATTTCGTGTGGCATAAAACCAAAAAACTGTCAGTTTGTGTACCACAAGCTACAGAATTGGAGATATACTGACTTAAACTTAAACCAAATTATTGACATCTTGATTTCTTCAATATTCTCAATTTAAAAAACCAAATGAACTTGAATACTTCAAAATAAGATCAAGCCTGTCTGTAAATGCGCTAAAATAAACATTCCACGAAGCATTACACAACTTCCTTTAATTTTAAAACAAAAAGTATACAAATTTTTGAAGTAGAAGCCTCTTAACTAACCGATGATAATGATTATGACATATTGCATATATTTGTTGAAAAGATCATATAAACATAAACAAAGCCGGTTTAAGCAATAAACAAACGGACAAGAACAACGAAATAAATTCTAACATACGAAATCGTTCAGATGATGAGTTTTACGAGCCACCCTGTTTAAGTATTTCTGTTTTTTATTAAACCTGTTTAAAGTTTTTTTTTTATATTTCTTCTTTCCACTTCAACATGTCAAGTTGTAAAAACACATAGAAAGCGTTTTGATATTTTCTTTCACGATATACAAAAACTTAGAGACTGAGAGTAGCAATAAACACTCTGTTAAATGCCTCTCTGATCGCCACATGAGTGCTGTGCTTACACATTTTATTGGAAATATGTGTTTACTTCTTTCTCTAGAGCGCCTCCATTCAATTATACATGCTTATTTATGTGTACGGAATGAATGGTGATTAAAAGGGAAAGACGAAAATGAGAGAGAGAGAGAGAAATGATGATCATGAAAAGAAGAAGATGAGAACTAAAGGAAAAACAAATATTGACTTGAAGCACTTTATAATTTTCTTTCTTAAAGAGACTTTCTAAGTTGAGAATTATTGGCAGTGAGTCACATGTCTTCTTCTTACACTGCTTGAGGATTCTCAGCTTTATATTGGAGAGAAATTATCAATTATTAATTATGAATGAATCATTTTGTACGAAATATTGTTTACAGCATTTGAAAGAAAGTTATTACAAACTGCGCGGAATTTGCATCATAGTGATAATTCTAGAATAATGTTTTTTAATAAAATATTGTTTTGAATTCTATTGAAAGTAAGTGTTTATTTGATTTCAGATGCAGTTTTCTTGCTAATAATACTGTTTTTAAAGATCTGGAATGATTGAAAGTTTCTTAAGAATTAGCTTCGAATTTGTTTACAATTCTTTTTTTTTGAATTTCTGTGAATTTGATCTCTTTTATTTTTATAAGTAAAAGTAATGTTTTGAAGCTAAATCATTGTTTTCTTTGAAAATTAATTCTTACATAAGAGTTCAGAATTTGTAAACGGCCAGCATAGATTTGAATTTTAAAGTTTCTCAATAGTTTCACACCCCAATTGTTTTGATTCAGTTTTTAATTCTTCCAATTTTTCAAATTGCAAACATCTATCAAAATATACTTTAACTTAATTATTAGATACAATCAGACTTTTATAATATCAATTTACTTGTTGATGATTCAATAGATTCTGAAAAAGTTCAATTTAAATTAAAATCACCGTAAATAATGAAATTAATTCATCAATTTTACTAAAAAGCTTCATAAACGACAGTAAATAATTGAATTTCACATTTTCATTATCATATTAGTAAGCAAATGAGCAGGCAAATGAGATAATTGAATCAGTATCTTCCAATAAAATTATATACTTTGTTTCTATGTAAATTATGATACAAATTAATTATTCATTTTACTCGATTAGTACATCTATAGATGTAATTTTTCTAACCGGTTTTCTTACTAATTTATGAGATTGGGTCAAGTAATTCAACTTGTCACACTTGACTATTTCTCATACTCGATAAACACGCTCAGAAAATTCCTTCCTATAGCTTGTTAATTTTGTTTTCATTGAGAATTCTTCACTCTTAGTTGAACAATATCTACGTTACAATAAATCTTTACAAATGCATTCGACAAAAATTCATTCTAAAAACCCAAAATATCTCAATTGAAACTTTTTACTTTGTAGTCAATAAATATCTATTTTTTTTATTTCAAGGAGCATTTTTTTGAAGTGATCATCATTAATATAATATGTAATGTGCATGTTATTCATTCTATTTCTGTTATTCAGGTAGAATAACAAACTACTAGGCATGTAGTATCTTGTATAAATACACATAACAAGAATAAATATAAGCAAAACTTCCTCTTTAATGATTTAAAATTGGTATTTGTTTTTTTAACAAGAAAAAAAGCGCCACATGAAAGAGATGGAAAGAGAAATAAAGGAAGGAAAAAGAAGAAAGAAAGAATTAAAAGGGCGAAGATATAGAAAGAATGAAAGGCATAGAAAATTGGATGATAAGATAATTTTACAGAAACTGCTGGACATCAACAGAATATTATATGTATGTTGAAGGAATGTTGGAAAGAGTAGGAATGCATGGGAAGGTTTTGAAGACGAATTTTTGTTCAAATTTATGTTGCAATATTTTCATGTTCATAGTTGACTATTTGAGTTTTAGGGCCAAACCTAATTAAACCAAGAATGTCCTGAGTAGCCCAATAAGAAGCTTTAATAAAGTTCTACCCTATTTCATTAGAATTCTCAGATATATTTCAATACTTTCAAGGATATGCACTGTATCTAATTCCAGTTACACAAAGCTTCCTTCTTCCTATCTTAAGGCTTCCTTAACTTAAAAGCGATTAGTTTACGTTATTAAACTTACTTTTGCTAATATTCCAGTAATAAATAGGTTTGATACCTTATTAAACATCCTTTACTACGTCACTTTGTTCTATGGTACAGGTCACTAATCATTAGTCTGTACATACTACTACTACTTACTAGTCTGTCCTAGTCCAATTTATTAAGCTACATGCATAGTTCATAGTTTAATTAATGTATGCCTTTAAGAGAAAGCATAATCAGACCTAATATTATGAAGCTCCAGTCAAAATGACTTCAATTTTAATTCTCAATCAGCAAAATATCCGCTTTAAGCGAAATCACTTAAAAAAGCAAAATCAAAAGAATGTGATGATGTGCTCAAATAGAATCATCAATGAAAATTAGCCGAATAAAGATGAGATGAGAATATTCGATGCTAGAGACTACAAAAAAAGAAATAAAGAATGAACATGAAAAAAAAAAATATAATAAAAAATTGTTTAATTTCACGTGAGAAGCGCTGATCGTTTTTCGATGATCTTGTTTGGGTGGTCTGTTTGTACATTTTTTTCACATTTTACCTTGTTTCCACTTACTTACTCTTTTTATACAGATATTTAATTTTTTATTTCATTTCTCCTTTATTGAGATGCGCTCACCATAAACTTTAATATAGATATACACTTATACACAAAAAACGTGAAGAAGAAAGAAAACTTCGTGGAATTTATGAGATTATATTTTAAAGGAGGCATGTGTTGAAATCAGTACATAATTAAAATAAAAAATACAATAATAAAAAGTAAAGCGAAGAATTTCTCATTGAAAAAGAATTCTTTTTTTTTCATAAATCTTTTAAGTAGTGCTGTAAGTAAAATACAGCAAACGCATTTGTGGTATATGTAAATCGTGAAATTTGGTTTTTCTCTTTCTTTTCAACTTTATTTTCTCAAGTACTTTTGCAGAGTTGTCGTCTGGATTCTGGATAGAATTAACGGAAGTTAAGTAAATGGTAGCTTATTACTAAATGAGAGTTACGTATTTTCAAATTTAAGAGTTCAATCTTGTGTCACTTTGCATTTGTAATCGTTCTAAAAGGATCCAAAAAGTATATAAGAAGGTTGTGGAATTAAGGAAGCTAGTTTAGAGTGTCACATTTAGAATAATTTGATAATTAATGATCTAGCTTGTTAATAAATTTAAAATCTGTGGTAAATTCAATCGGATAAAGGCTGGTAATGAAAATCTTAAGATTTGAACTTCCGATGGACTTTATCAGGGTGGATTTTGAGATCACAACCACTTCCTTGATTGGCAATTTATTCAATTTGTTAGAGAAATGAATCAAATCCCTATTCACATGCTGTAATCCAACCAACAACTCTGCTTTACTGTTTAATTTATAAATCAATTTAACTTCATCACTACCATACATTAATGCTCATTGATTATTGTACAAATATAATATAAAATATAGTTCAGTAGCGCGTTTTCTTGGTATTACTTTTCACATCTTCTTTCACATTTTTATCAACATCACTTAATGAAATAACTTTTATTGTACGAACTTGCACATCATCGACTTTTCTTCGTATCGTTTTTGGATGTCTGTTAGCATTTTGAACGTGTTGTGTGTGATATTGACGGGAATTGATCTCAACAATTTTATTGAAATGCTTTTTTCCTTTTTTCAAAGAAATAAAAGTTATGATTATCACATAATAGATAATCTCAACACCACTTAGTAAGGAACATCCCAGAAATAAACCTGCAATCCCACCAAATGCAACCATCAGATCAAGCCAGCCAAAAGTAACATCCGTGCGATACTTTACAATATTAGCGCTTTGATAATGCAAATCTATAGTCATATTATCGCTGACACTGCAATATTTTCATTTTATAAAGAAAGTAAACAGTAAACAGCTTCTCCCTAATTCTATTATTATAGTCACTTACGACAGAATATTGCTCGTGATTTCAATTGAGTAATCAATACGATGACATTCTGGTAAGCAAGGACACTGCATTCCTTCACTGTCATTGTCAAAGTATGGATTATTTGATGATGGCTTCTCGTAGTTAAAGACATCTGGAAGAATGTTCACAATGAGATCCTTAATATAGGCATTAGCTTTACTTACCATTGAATTCGTAAAGACACTTTAGATCGTCAAAGTTGCAGTCTCTAATCTTGCCTGAAAATGTCATAGAAATTGATACTTTGAAGCTTAAAGATCAATTCACGTGATATGTATACAAACCTAGTGGGAAGAACAAAGAGACACTACAGTTGCAATATTTTTCCATATATCTCTGTCGGCATTCACTTATACAATTCATTTGTAAATACTTTAAACCTGGTAATGTCATTGCGGACTTTGACTCGTCATCCTGAATGAAATGAACAGATATAAAGTGACTTTAGATTATGATTGATGATGAAAATGTTCTTAAGAGAAATTCACACATGAATGGATTCAACAATTATGATAATTACATTCAAGCATTGTCGTTGGTCAGGATGTAATCGTCTAACATCTTCTGTTGTGTATGAAAATGTTGGTTTGATGGTAATGTATGTGGCAGAACCAGCAGGTACAAAACTAGCTGAATTAGGCCATTGTTTTGGATGATTAATTAAAAGTCTGATCCCATTAACTTCATGTGGAAGACTTATGTCTGTCCTTGTACTCAAATCAATTCTAAGTCCACTCCATTCACCTGCAAAATGATTCTCGGAAGATAAATTTTGAAGATTTAAAAAAGTTTCGATCTTGTTTCTTTATTTAATTTACCATAATTGGATGTCCGAAGAGGATAATGAATGCTTTCGTTCTCCTGAAATTATATAAATGCAAAAGACGGACCGAAATCAATTTAGCCATAAGCTTACACTCTTAGAAAATCCAACATCATGAACAGCACTGTTGAATGAGAAGCATACTCCATATTCACTTTTTTGTAGTTCAAAGAAGTCATCACAACAATTGTAATATCTATTTCGCCACCAGCATTTGCCTGTGAAGACCTCTTCGCACGTGAGCATTGTAAACTCATATAAATCTGTTAAATTTAAAGCTAGTAAATCAGGTGAACTGTAATCAAAAATGTCTTCTTCAAATTCGTCAAGTGCTCCAAATTCTATGTTATTCATGCTGTCTAGGAGAAGTCTGAATATTTTGAGGGAATCTTCGGATGCATCTGGTAGGAATACTGATTCAGCTTCCTTACATCTATGGAATAAGAACAAAGCTCTTCTATAGTTTAATTGGATACATTGTTTTGTAGAGGCTAAAGTGTCTAATTATGTGTTTTAAAAAACCTAAGTTGTTCAAATCTCTTTCATAAGTTCCTTGAGCTATTTGTTTTGAAAAATACTAACTGTCCCCATTTACATTGACATATTGGAAGTCATAAAGTAAGATTATAGTGAAAACAGGCGAGCAAAGTCACGAGTTTCTTGACAACTAATACTAATTAAAGCTTAAAGTTTGTCATCAAAACAATATTTTGTGCAAGTTATTTTGTTACGTAATACAGAAAGCTAGCTTATGCCTCCTTATCCTCAAATTTAATTTCTTTAGAATCAGGGATGTAGCTAGGTTGGTCCACAGTTATGATCAAAGTTTATATAAATTGTTTCAAGGTTTCTTATATTTTAAAGTAACTCAAAACAATTGAGCGCATTAAATCCCTACGCCTCTGATCAAGTGTCGTCTAATACACGAGCTAAATTGTTTTGCAATCTCGGATAATGCGATGTCATTTCAGTTTAGAATTTAAATTTCATTTGATCCATACAATTTTAATCTTATAAAAGCTATTTTTACCTCTGCATGCTCAGCCGATTAGCAGGACAAAATGTCACAGCTGGATATGGAATTTCTGATACAGGATAAATAGTTGATTCCACAACTGTTGACAATGGACTGCTTGAGAATTTGTTTGATAATTCCAGTGAGATATGAAATATTCCACCAATTGCTAAGAACACTAATGCAGACCAAAATAGCCTATAAAATATTTTATGGTCTTAAAGTTCTTTGATTGACAAACTTGATGGATTAAACCTTTCACTCCAATGCAATTCCGTTTGTCCAAGATATTTCACACCATGAATTGATGTATTTTCACAAAAATTGCATAGCCACTTAGTAATAAATGGCTGCTTATCATTTGGATCATCTTCATCACTTTCATGCTTAATAATCACTTCAGGCTCTAATTTTTTCTTTAATTTTCTACTCTTCCTTAACTGTCCTAAACTTCTACCGTAGTCAAATCGTGGCTGAAATGGGAGCTGCTTAAATTCACTTTGACTGTACATTTCACTTGGGATCTACTTATAAGGTTCAAATACTTTTACAAACTGACTATTAAATATTTTTTACGAGAACTTTTTTATACAAAATTCAAAATTCAATTATTCCTTGTCCCTTAATTGGCCATAAAATTGACTTTATGGCACGATTCCATTTAAAATTCGGTAGTGAATTAGCGAGGGAAAATTTTAAGTCGTTTCCTCAAAGTCGTGCGATCGGAGCTTTTCATTCAAATGAAATTGAAAGTTTGGAACTTTGCTGAATGGGAAAATAAAAGAAATAAAAGCTTGCATGTGTGACGTGAGAGTATTTAAATCACTTATAAATCAATTAGTAGTCAATTTGTCAACACAAGACAAGAAAAGAATAGAAGTAAATTACAGTCTGGTTAATGTTTACACTTTACCGCAACCCATGTATCAAGTTCATGTAAAAATAACATAATACCATGCAATTATGTCATCAAAAGTTTTCTGACACTTTCATACGCATGATAATGTTAACGTTAAGGTATTTACGGTCATTATGATGTATTTTTAAACTGCAGATAAATTTGCTGTGGAAATAAGCTGATTATTAAGTTGTTCCTGTAATTTGCTACAAATTCTCGTGGACTTGCAACAAATATCTGAAGTTCACTAAAGGGCCGTTCGCATTTTAGGGGGGAGGGGGGTTTGAAAAATTGTAACAAAATGTAACATAGGGGGGGGGGGGTGGTGTGTCAAGAAGTATGTAAAGTTCTAACTGTCGTCTGTCTTTCAAAAAAAAGATCACGAAAAAAATTTACAAATTCACACCAAAAAATTTTTTTTTATAGGAAAAATTATCAAAATAAAATAAATTATTAACGTTCAAAGGGGGGGGGGGGGGGTGTTGTGAGTTGTAACATATTGTAACAAGGGGGGGGGAAGGGGTGAAAAAAGTCGTTTTTTGCGTAACGTAATAAGTGAACGGCCCCCAAGCTGATAGAATTTAAAAGATCTGTAGCTCATTTTAAATGCTCAATAACAAATAACTCTTTATTAAACTTTCAGCAACAAAACAATAAATTTACAAGATCATTCGCCAATCAATTTTAACATAGCTTTGCAGTAGTAACCTGAAGTATCGCCTTTAATTACACTTTTAAGAGACTTTCCATATTTGTCTTCATAAGCTTCTTTAATGTCTCCCATATCGATTTCACAGCGTGTAACTATCAATCGAATCAAAGATTTATCGTTTGTTCCAAATCCAATGATCGTACTTTGAATACAGCGAGCATAATACAACGAACGATGTGTAGCATAACGAAGAATTGATAGTAAAGCATCGAGAATATCACCGCTAAATTCCTTCTTCAAATCTTTCTCCAAGCTGTTACCGGTAATGTATTCATACTCTTGTGATATTAATCTTATTTGATCAAGATTTCTCAAACATAAAATACGTGTAAATGTGCTTGTATCAGTTCCCCACTTATCGATGCCAGCTCGTTTCAATTCCATTGCATCAACGCGAGCTGTATAAAGGTCAAGGATCATAGACTCATCTCGAGTGGCGTTTAGAAGAGATAAAAACAATTTACGAAGGTTTCCGCTGGTATCTGTAAAAGTTGATTATTAACTTTGACTTAATTTGGACATTATTCGGTTATCACCTGATCTGATGTCTTTCTCTAAAGTTTTTCCATAATTTTTAACATACTCCCGAACATACAATGAGCATGCTCAGAGCACATTATTTGTGAGCCTATTAGCCTTTGTGAGAATGTGCTCATTTTCATACATTTCAGTGATGCGCTTACGGTACCTTCTTGAGCATGCTCAGTGAGCACATTCCTATGTGACATGTAATAAGATCATTGAGTAAACTCATGAGCATACTCAAATGAGAAGGTAACATGTCACATGCAACATTTTTCTCATGTAACATTTTTATTGAATATACTCATGTACATTCTCAGAGAGCATATACTCATAAATATTCTCAAAGAGCTTATACTCATGAAGATACTCAAAAGATATATGCTCAGTGAGTATATTTATGAGTATATGCTCATCTGAGCACACTCATGAGTGCACTCAAGTGAAGTTGCAAAATTCAAAAAATTAATTAAGCTAAATTTGAATATTATAGGTTAGCTGAAATCAAGTACTGTTCGGTTTATTTCTTTGATTTCTGTGAATAATTTTGAAAGAGTTAGAAATTATTATTAATATTTTATCTCAAATACTTAGACGGAAACATATAAATCTGGTCACCCATCCTTGTTGAAATATCTTCTGCGTTGCTTAACTTCTGTCATCTCACACTTTTCCTTGGAGCCATTGTCTGTAAATATATAATAATTTATATATGGCATAACACATACTTAAATTATTATATTTTTACAGGCGAACTAAGTTCTTTGAAGTTTGAATCTTATTGAGCGCCAATTTTAACATTTTCGATTTAGCTGACATATTTTTAAAAACGTCAGCTTCCTTAAAAAATCATTATTTTGACGTTTTCGATTTAGCTGACATTTTTAAAAAACGTCAGCTTCCTTAAAAAATCATTTTTTTAACGTTTTCGATTTAGCTGACATTTTTTTAAAAACGTCAGCTTCCTTAAAAAATCATTATTTTGACGTTTTCGATTTAGCTGACATTTTTAAAAAACGTCAGCTTCCTTAAAAAATCATTTTTTTAACGTTTTCGATTTAGCTGACATTTTTTTAAAAACGTCAGCTTCCTTAAAAAATCATTATTTTGACGTTTTCGATTTAGCTGACATTTTTAAAAAACGTCAGCTTCCTTAAAAAATCATTTTTTTAACGTTTTCGATTTAGCTGACATTTTTTAAAAAATCTCAAATAATGATTTTTTAAGGTAGTTGACGTTTTTTTAAAAAAATGTCAGCTAAATCGAAAACGTCAAAATAATGATTTTTTAAGGAAGCTGACGTTTTTAAAAAAATGTCAGCTAAATCGAAAACGTTAAAAAAATGATTTTTTAAGGAAGCTGACGTTTTTTAAAAATGTCAGCTAAATCGAAAACGTCAAAATAATGATTTTTTAAGGAAGCTGACGTTTTTAAAAAAATGTCAGCTAAATCGAAAACGTTAAAAAAATGATTTTTTAAGGAAGCTGACGTTTTTTAAAAATGTCAGCTAAATCGAAAACGTCAAAATAATGATTTTTTAAGGAAGCTGACGTTTTTAAAAAAATGTCAGCTAAATCGAAAACGTAAACAATTTGCTCTTGAATATACTCAGTAAGTGCACTCATATGAGAATATAAAAAAAATTGTGTGACACAGAAATGAGCTTGCTCGTTATATGCTCATGAGTACATTCAGTAAGTGCACTCATATGAGAATATATAAAAAATTGTGTAACACAGAAGTGAGCTTGCTCGTTATATGCTCATGAGTACATTCAGTAAGTGCACTCATATGAGAATATAAAAAAAATTGTGTGACACAGAAGTGAGCTTGCTCGTTATATGCTCATGAGTACATTCAGTAAGTGCACTCATATGAGAATATAAAAAAAATTGTGTGACACAGAAGTGAGCTTGCTCATTATATGCTCATGAGTACATTCAGTAAGTGCACTCATATGAGAATATAAAAAAAATTGTGTGACACAGCAGTGAGCTTGCTCATTATATGCTCATGAGTACATTCAGTAAGTGCACTCATATGAGTGAACTCACATGAGTATGTTCTTAATATTCTCAAGAGTATACTTATTGAATGCACTCACGTGAGCTTATAAAGTTTTTGTAAAAAATTTAAGTGAGCACATTCATAATATTCTCATGAGCATGCTCAGTTGAATGAGCTTGCATGAGAATATTTTTTGAGTACGCTCACTAATATGCTCATTTTTCTGAGCATGCTCTTTGTATGTTCGGGACTTTTGGCACACTTCATTGATCTCGTTATTTGAAAGTGTACACAAAATCTGCATCAAAACATTTTCATCAGTTCCAGCTCGATTTAATGCATCATAAAGTTCATTACAGTAATATTCATAAGTTGGTGTCAGCAAAGCAATCATAAGCTTCGAAAAATCACCTTTTGGGAATTTGCGCTTAAATTCTTCCAACAATTCACGATCATAACAAGTTTTGTAAGCTTTAGCAAGATCCAATCGTTCACGAATGGTTTTTGTACACAAAATATTAATGATTGCTTGCTTATTAGATATAAATCCGAGTGCTTTATGTAGATCTTTAACATCCTGAGATAAATCAAGCTTCTCCGATTTCAAAACTGTCGGATTTCCATGAAAGAAATTCTTACGAGGAACAAAATATTTTTCCTCAATGAACTCCCCCATTTTTACGTAGAGTTTACGATACGAGATCTAATCACAAACTGTCTCTCCAGAGTATATCTTGTTGACAATAGTTTTGAATATAAAATCTCGTTCCGCATCATCTCCAAAAAACCCGTTTGATGACCATCATTAACATATGAATTGAATGCATAATGAAGCAAGGTGTGAGTAATTCAAAGAGCTTTCGTTCGTTTTGATGTTGTAACGGACATACTTTTAAAAATTTGAATTGATGTGTAAAAAGTTGTGAGCAACTTGTTGCTTAATTTTTGAAAAATAAACGTTGATTTGAGAAATGGATGTTGGAATCACATGTTATCGAGGAAAATAGAAATATGGTTGTTAATATACTTTATTCCTATCTATAGACATGGATTGACGGGTTCTGTTAAGTACGTGCGCGGTCACAAACTTCGAAATTATTATATGGGGATATACAGTTGGATACGATTAAATGAAGAAGTTTGTATGATAGTTAAGGTGGTCTTTTCAAATTCTTAAACCACGCTGCAAACTGAATGAATAATCAAATCAGAAATATTCACATTTACAGGAGTGCTGATGACGTACAGGACAGCATTTGCCACATCTTCAGGCATTATATGAGGAGATGTCTCTAACATTTCTTTAGTAATCATATCAGTTGCAACAATTCCAGGGCTTATGTTTCCAATCCTAATGTTTGAGTTCTTCTCCATAATTAGCTCATGCTGAATCATTTCTTGAAAGCCACGTACTGCGAATTTAGTTGCTGGGTAAATATTGGCAGAGAACCCTAAATATGGAATGTGGTGTGCAAGCATTGATGCGATGTTAATTATGATTGAATTATTTCCATATTTCTTCATTATTCCAATAGCTTTTCGAGTACAATGAACCAAACCATTAAGATTTGTGTTTATGACTTGATTAATCAATTCGGTAGTCTCTTCACTTTCATCTAAAGCTCGTGAAAAAGTGACAATTGCAGCATTATTAATCAAAATGTCAATTGTACCAAAATTATCTTCAATCCACTTAAATGTTTCCTTAATTGACTCATAGTCAGAGACATCACATCTGTGTGGATGGATTCTACCCCTTGTTTCGCCGATATTTCGTATATTTTCCACGATTAATTCATATCTTCGTGCCAAAGCAATAACATTGATTCCATTTTCAGCAAACTTTTGTGTAATTACAGCTCCAATACCTGATGAAGCACCAGTAACAACTGCGAGTTTTCCTTCCCACTTTTCCATGTGTTAAGCTTTAAGTTTAGTAAAGTACTGGATGAGTTCTGTACAGACTATGCTATTTATACAGCATCTTGTATTACAATTTTTAATAAGAATTTGTCATGACAATGTGTTTGATGTTCTAGCCACGTTGACATTATTTTTAACAATTTTTAAATAGAATACGTATCGTGTCAAGCGATGAGCTGGTTTTCACAGGATATAAGGGATTGAACTGTCATAAAATCCTAGACCCTCCCCTGTTAAATGTCGCACGATGTCTTTTTTTCAGGTGGATATGAAGTTATTAGAATATACTGGAATATACATAAAAACTTATAAAAGTCTTCGTGCTTGGACGATTGACTTCATTGTACCAAAATTAACGATTATTGTAAATTTGAATCATTAAAACCCTACAATATTTAAACGCTTGAAAACCATTCAAATGTTTATTAATGCTTAAAAACCTTATAAATTTTTAAATTTTCAAACAGACAAAAACGTTATGATTTTAATTTATTCATCATTTATACAGGATGTACAATATTGAGGACATTTAATACAGCTTTCCTTCAAGGACTGAGAAATTTTCAGGTGAATGATATATAACACGAATTGAGTAGCTAGCTGAAATATAATTAATTTAAAGTTAAGTATATAGATTAGATTAATAAAACACTACTCACATTGATTTCTTGTCTGAGCAGTTTCTGAATTATCTAAGCAAAGCATCATATAAAGAGCATATAAGATTCCAAAATATATCCACTTTGTACCCAGTGACATAATAAACTAGTTATTTTTGCTGAAATTGCCAAGATATTTAATAAATAAAAGTTTTCAAAAAATACTTCAGTCTTTGCTTTAAATTTGACAACTATAAATACCTTAATTAAGAGTTGAAATCAATTTAAATTTATTAAAATCAAAAACTTTGTAAACTTTTCAAAATGTAAACACTTTTGTAACGAATGTTTGAATTTCAAATATAAAAAAATTATTCATGGTCACTCATGTTATTTTTTTCTGGAATTATACATCAAATGCTGCCAATTAAACTTATTCTATCGCTTGTTCTAGGGACTATTAAGCATGGTAATTATCATTTAACGACCAGAAATAAGAATTACTTCGATTAAGTCTGTAAAGTGCTCAAAAATTGTCATTTTAATGTTTATCTCTCCATCTCAGTCACTCAATTTTAATTTTTTGTGCAAACATTTTGTTTCGTAAAATATTTTTGTGTTTCTTGCTGTTTAATTAGATCATATTGATCAATTGTCATCAAAAGTCGTCTATTACATCACTACAGTAAGTATCGATATCAAGGTTTTGTCAAATATATTTAAATTAACAATATTTTAGTGAAAACTTTAATTTCAAGCTCCATTTTTAAGGTTAGACTAAACAAATTGTTAATTATATTACCACTTAATTATCCATTAACCTAAGCACAGTCCATAAATGTAATTTCATTAATCTCCATTCTGTTTGCAGCTCCATCTATTGAAAATGCGAGTGAAGCTGAAAAAATGGCCATGCTTGAATGTTGTGTCTGTTACGTTATTGTTCGTTATATGCTGTTTTGTGGATGCTGATGTGAAATGTAATTTAAAGACCAACTATTTGTGCGAGAATAAACAAAACTGTATTCCAAAAAAATATGTGTGCAATGGAATTATAGATTGTCCAGAAAAAGATGATGAAAAGGATTGCGGTAAGTTAAATTAACATCCAGTGCTTAATTTGCTCAATAAACTCATCATAATTTCAGACATAGAAAGATGTGATAACAAAGATAAGTTCTTCTTGTGTCGTGATAAGCTGACTTGTATTGGAAAGAATCTAATTTGCGATAATGAAGCTGATTGTCCTGATGCAAGTGACGAGAGTGATGAAATGTGTGAGACAGTAGCATCTGCTAGATCTTATTCGCGTGATTCAAATGTAGAGCTCTGCAAAGACAAAGAATTCAAATGTAAAGTAAATAATGTTTGTATTCCTGAAAAAGATATGTGTAATGGTGCTAAGAACTGCATTGATGGATCCGATGAAGATATTGAATTCTGTAAAACCTTCAATAGCACTAAATGTCCAGGTTTTTTGTGCAGTAATAATAAATGTTTAGAACTTCCAAAATACATTTGTGATGGAACTGATGATTGTGGAGACGGAAGTGATGAGGAACATTGCCAACCTAGTTGTGACAAAAAGAATGGAAAGTTTTTATGCAATTCTTCAGACGAATGTATAGATCTCGCAAAGATTTGTGATGGAAAAGCTGACTGCACTGACGGAAGTGATGAAGGTGCAACGTGTAATAAGAAGATTGAAAATTTCACAGCAGATTGCAAGAGTATGGCCTGCAAGGATAACAGTGAATGTAAAGTTTTGCCTTATTATGGAGCAACCTGTTTCTGTAACGATGGATATAAGCTTGATCAGACAACTGGTAAATGTGAGGACATCAACGAATGTGAAATATTCGGAACTTGCTCACAAGGATGTGTTAATCAGAATGGATCATATTACTGCACCTGTGCCAAAGGATTTCTTCTAAACTTCAATAATATATCTTGTGATACAACCAGCACTAATGTGTCTCTAATTTATACAACAAAGAATTCAATTAAGAAAATTTCTTTTGGTCAACGAAACATTTTTTATCACAGCACAGTGTCCAAGACTAAACAATCTATTGGTGTTGCTTTTGACGGAGAGTTCTATTATTGGACTGAAGTTGATATGGCTCGAGAAGTCATTGTCAAATACAATCCAAGCACGAAAACTAGAGAAATATTGTTAACAAATGGACTGGAACTGCCTGAATATATCGCAGTTGATTGGCTTACAAAAAACATTTATTTTACGGATTCAACAAGAAGGCACATTGCTGTCTGCACAAATGATGGATATTATTGTACAGAACTGATTAAAATTGATATCATGCATTATCCACGAGCAATAGCCTTACATTCAGCTGATGGACTTTTATTTTGGACAGATTGGGGCAATAATTCACACATTGGAGTTGCTTTTATGGACGGAAGTGGAGCTAAAGTTTTAGTAGACAACGTATCATGGCCAAATGGTTTGGCATTAGACTGGGCTAATAGACGTATTTATTGGATTGATGCTTTATCACATTCTATAGAAAGTGTTAAAATCAATGGTGAAGATCGACGAGTTATTCTTAATGGCGTTTTTAAGCATCCATTTTCACTTGAAGTTTTTGGTGATAAATTGTATTGGTCAGATCATGACACTAAATCTATTGAATTTTGTGATAAATTTACTGGCAAAAATCATGATCTTTTGGTTCAAGGCGACGAAATTTTCGGTAAGAAATTGCTTCTTTTTTTTACGGCTTTTTGGTTTTTAAAATTTTTGTCTCGTTCGAAATTTTGAAAACCGTTAATATTTGAATATTAAATGACAGTTTTATTTTCAACAGACGTTCACATTTATGATCAATCATCAATGCCTTATTCTAAACATGGATGCGAAGGAAATCCATGCTCACACATTTGTTTGCTGAAAAATAACGGATCATATAGCTGTGCTTGTCCAATGGAAATGGAATTACAATCTGATAATCATAATTGTCGCTTTAATTCACAATCTTATATTATTCATGTTGGAATCGGCTCTAAATTGTACTCAAAACCGTTCCTATCATTTGGACGAAATATTGAGAATCCATTGAAGCAAGTTGACGGTAAAATTGATAAATTGGAGTTTAATGCACTAAATGGTGCCATTTTTTATGCTGATAATGATAACCACAAATTGTTCGTCCTTGACACAATTGGAAATAGTCATCTGCTTTTGAATGATCCTAATCTTCACATTACATCGATGTCATTTGGTAAGAATTAAATTTTCGTTCAGTAGAAAAATGTTCATTTCAGTTCAGTCCATTTGATTTTTTGAAAACCGTTATTTTCATTTTAGATTATCTCGGAAATAACTTGTATTGGGCTGACGCCTTGAAAGGAACAATTGAAGTTCTTTCGATACACACGAAAAAGCATTCAATTGTTCATCATTATACAGGAGATTATCATCCAAATTCAATTATCGTAGTCCCATCTGAAGGAGAAATTTTTGTAGCTTTAGTGTCACAAATAGATTCTCAAATTAATCGAGTTTCAATGAAAGGATCTTCGATGGATGACTCAAAATTCCAATTGATTAGAAGTGGTTTAGGAAAAGGTGGAAATTTCTATTTAGCAGTCGATGAAAAGGAAAAGAAGCTGTATTGGTCAGATACAAAAAAGAAAAGAATTGAATTTGCATTCCTGAATGGAACTGAACGGAAAATCTTTATTCAGAGTGAAAGAACGCCTGGACCACTTACAATTGTTGATAATTACCTTCATTGGACATCAGAAGGCTCTAAAGCAATGCAGTGGAGAAGGAAGAATGGAACTGGACCAATTAAACTCATTAAAATCGATGGAATGACAAAAAGTTCAGATTTTCCAAAAACTCTCCCAATCACAACAGGAAATCCAATTAAAATTAATAATCATCAATGTGCTATAAACAATGGAGGATGTTCAGACATTTGTATATCCGATGGTCAAACAGGAAAAGCTTGTTTATGTGCTTTAGGACGAGTTTTTAAGAATAAAGCACAAACTGATTGCATTGAAAGATCTCGTTGTGATTTCCGTTGTAAATCTGGTGAATGTATCGAGTCGAAAATGGTCTGTGATGGACGTGTTGACTGTATTGATCGCTCTGATGAAGATGATAGGAAATGTAAGAAATCTACATGTAGACCTAGTCAATTTCAATGTGACGACAGTTCTTGTATTGCAAAATCTTTGCGATGTGATAAAAATAGAAATTGCAAGGACGGATCTGATGAATGGAATTGTCCAAAAGAAGGAACTATTGAAGGATGTGGCGATCGTAAAATTCAATGCTTAAATTCAACTGAATGTATTTATAGAACACAAGTTTGTGACATGAATCCAGACTGTCCAAATGGAACTGATGAATTAGAAGAAAGCTGCAATCAAAAGTGCTTAGATAGTGAATTTAAATGTAGTTCTGGTCAATGTGTGCCTAAAGAATTCTTGTGTGATCACAAATACGATTGCTTTGACGGAAGTGATGAGGATGAGCAATGCTGTAAGTTGTCTATAAAATTAACTGTTAAAAAATATTTGAAAAATAATTCTTTATTTCAGCTCATATGTGTGAAGCACCGTTTAAAGCTTGTAGAGATGGTCACTGTATCCACGAACGATTCTTTTGTGATGGCGTTAATGATTGTGAGGATGAATTTGACGAGTTTAATTGCGGAAATAAAACAGCTTTATCAAAATGTGATGAAAATAAATTTCAATGTCCATCTGATCCAAAACTGTGTCTTGATGTGAACAAGATCTGTGATAAAACTTCAGACTGTCCGAAAGGAGAAGATGAAAGAAATTGTCTAAGATGTCAATCTTATGAATTTACATGCTCTAATGGACACTGTATTGATGGAAACTTAAAATGTGATGGCAAAAGTGATTGTAATGATCATTCAGATGAAGAAGATTGTAATTATATAGATCAAGCGCCGACGACATGCACAGCAACAAATTATAAGTGTTCTAATGGATTATGTTTGGATTACAGCAAAGTCTGTGACGGCATTAAAGATTGTGATAATGATGAAGGTGGACAATGCTCAGAATCTTGTTCTAGAGGAAAATGTGATCAAAAGTGCAATAAATCACCAAAAGGTTTAGTCTGCTCGTGCAATAAAGGATATCAAATGAAAAGTGGCAGTGACTATATTTGTACAGATATTAATGAATGCGACTCAACTACATTAAATCCATGCTCACAAATCTGCACAAATTATCCTGGATCTTATAAATGTTCTTGCCATCCTGAATTCGTACTGTCAGGTGATGGACATGATTGTAAAGCACTTGGAGATCCTTTTAAATTGATTTATGCATTACATAATCAAATTAGGTCAAAGGATTCAAAGAATCAAGATTTACTTTATGAAGCTGAATTAGCCATTTCGGATATGGTGGTGGATGTAAGAAAGAATATTCTGATGTATTCATTAATTGGAGAAAACGGACTTTATGTCCTAAATATGGCAAATAAATCAGTTGAACTGATTGAAAGTTTTCCATCATCAAATTTATTGACTTACGACTGGATAGCCGAAAATGTTTACATTATCGAACGTAATGCTTTTGGAAAATTAGAAATATTTGCATGCAGCATGGCCACAAAGAAATGTGTAATAATTAATAGATTTAAATTAAATCGATCTCATATCACTTCTATTGATATTGATCCAACTAGAGGCTATTTGTTTTTTGTAAGGAAAATGAGCTTATTTACGTCAAAAACAAAGACTGAAATTGTCAGAATGCGACTTGATGGAAGTGAAGAAAAAGTCTTGCTAGAAGATCCAAATCTGAATATCATAAGAGCTTTATCCATTGATATTAGATCCAAGACAATTTACTTTACAGAACAAAATTCTCAGTCACTAAATAAGATGGACTATGACGGTGAAGCTAGAGCAACATTTGTTCATCAATCTCAAAAGCTCATGGTTCCATCAGCCTTATCAAACTATGAAAATCATGCATATGTCTTGGATGAAGCACATGGAAAGATCTCAAGTTGGAAATTGTACCAAAATAATACAATAATGAATGAATTTAACGTGGCAGCATCAAGAAAATTCTTAATTGCTCATATTTCAAAGCAAATTGATGGCGAAAATAAATGCTGGAAAAATAAATGTCCAGAGATTTGTGTGAATGCTGATTCTGATAAGAAATGCTTGTGTGGTAATGAAATTGGAGATGCTAAAATGTGTGCTGAATTGACGGTGAGTTTAAAAGTCTAAAACCCTATAAATTCTTATTATAAATATAGCTGTTGTACTGTTCTCAAAACAACAGCTGTTAAACAACTTGAAAACCTCTCAACAGTTTTTTCAGCTGTTGTAGTGTTTTCAATAATTTGAATAAAATCTAACGGTTAAAACTGATTTTAAAAATAATCAAGGGTGTGAAATTAAGTCTCAAGATTCCGTTTGAAAATTTAGAAACTTACTGATTTATTCTATTTTCAGGAATCGGAACCGGAAGTCTTCATTACCAGATCAAGCCAAAGCTCATCAGTCGTTTGGATCATATTGATCATGATTGCACTTTTAATTGTTTTAAGTGGTGCAGCTTATTGGGTCTATAAAAAAAGAGGATTCAATTATAATATGAATATAGGTTTTAATAGAAATCGTGGTGCATCAATTCATGATTTTGCAAATAGTATGCAGCAAGTGCCTAGTACACATGAAAAGGATGATCATCAATTTATTGAAAAGGAAAAAGTTCCTTTTACAAAGACGGAAAATCCAAATTATACAGAAATTGTCAATAAAGGTTTCGGTCATTCTGTATATCCAGTTGAAGAAGAGCTTCAAGATTTGATGAATATCTACGATAGTGATAGTGCTGGAAAAGGTGATATAGATTCAAATGATGATGACAATGATCATCAGAGATTAATTAGATAATTAAGTTAAATTTAAGTGAATGCCAAAGAAAGCGAATTAATTATATTGTACACGTAAGCTTAATCGTTTCTATGAAATAAAATAATTACTGTTTTGTTATAAAAAAAAGTCATTTATTTTCTACTTGCACAATTGATAAAGTTTTAATGACCTTTGCGTTCTCGTCCATTCACTCGAAGTCATTGAGTACGCGAATATGTTTCAGGACACGAAGATTTTCATTTTTTACATTACTTCTATTTTTATGATAGTCTTCCTCACGACTTTTTTCGTGCTTGTTTTTGAAGGTTGGAAGTGACTGTTTTTATGTTCAGTTTGGCTGATAAGTTTGAAATTATTTTATTGAATTAGATTATATTTCCAGATTTAACGGTTTTAATGGATTTGAATTTTGTTAAAAGCACAAATCAGGGGTAGGAAATATTTGAATTTTTGAAAAACCGTTAAAATTTAAAAAAAAAATAATTAACTGCGCTCTAACTTTATACCGCATAATCAGAGCTAATACCTTGACTACTAATTTTTAATATCGAGGACAAATATACAACAAATGTCCAGACATTATATTGATTTCTCAAACATCATACCCGCACGTTTAAATGAAAGAAAATAATGGAAATGCACACATCATGCTCCGTTGATTTGTGGACGTATGAAGAAGAAGGAAAGAAAGGAAAAATTGCTGAAAAGAGGAAATTTCTTTATCCAGTTTCTACATTTACTTTTTGTAAAATAAGCGGAAATAAAGAGGCGGAAAAACATTACAAATATAGCTCGTCTCTTAATGGCACACATATATGAGGATGTATGCGATAAAAAAAGAGACATAGAATTGAAATTTCCATCTATCGACATGGCGCTTCTACTTGAATCATCATAATAATTCTCATTGTAAAAGGAAGAAATGTTTCAGTAATAAATTCACATCTGATATATGTAAAATCGTGACTATGGCAAAGTGCACGTAATGATATTTGCATTTGTTCGCTTTCATTCTTCTCCTTTTTCTCTCTTACATCTCTTTTTCTGTCTCTACGTTTCGATTCGTTGGATTGTTGATCGAATTTTTGATACTGGAAGATGTCTAATTTAAACAGACTTGCGATTCAGGCATCTGTCACAGATGAGAACCGTACACATCCTTGATAATTTATAAGGTTTTTCTAACAAAACCATATAAATCTTAATAAAACCTCACAAATTATCAAGGAATTGTACGGTTTTCACGGCATTTACAGCAACCAATTATTGGAATAAGAGCTAATATTGTGGATCAGAGGACACAATTCTTGGGGCATCTAGGTATATTGGAGCAGTCTAGTAGCTAAGAAACATACTGGAATCTAAATCACATCTTTTGTTGAGGATGTAAGTTGGAATCAGAGTTGCGAAACAGGTCACCTGTGACAGTCCTGTTTCAATTCCTTGATAATTTGAATGGTTTTGTTAGAAAACCCTTATAAATTATCAAGGAATTGTAGGGTTCTCACCTGTCACAGGTGCCTGTTTCGCAGCTCTGGTTGGAATCTTAACGTAGCCTGATCTCTAATCATTATACGACTATGCAAAGACTTTTATAGAAGGTTTTAGATTCAAACTGCACCAATATCAAAGAATTCATGCTGAAAACAATCAAATTTGACTAAACATCCAGAATCACAAATGATCTATCAAAAAATTCATAATTGACTTGAATTAAACTAGACACGACCACCTGTGAGCTGTAAGAAAAGTTTAAAGAGCTTTAAAGTCCAATTTGTTGAATTACGTGGAAACACGAATATCTAAAGTCCGTGAAAATGAAATAATTACGACTTGCACTATTTCATTATTTTATACTTTACAATTTTCAACGACAATTTTTTTTTTCCATGTAAAATTGTTCCTTATCGCTTAAAGGTAAAATGAGCAATATTGGCGTCTTACAATGCTTTACGTGGCTATGTGCTGAAAGAGAAATAGAGAAAGCAAATCTTGGTTATAAGATGAATTGTAGTCAGGGATGTCTGCGGCTTGTCATGATTCTTTGAAATGGAACTGACTTTAGGATTCAAATCCTGCCAGTTGATTACAACCCCCCCCAACGATGTGTAGTATAGTGTCCAACCTAGTCGACAGCTATTTGAATTAAACTTGAAAAATACTATGAATTAAAAATAACACAGAAGTTATAAAGAAGAAGCAATCCAAGCAAGAGGAAAAGAGCTTCTACTTTAATTAATTAAATTTTCCAAAGAAATTGATCTTCGTGTGCCTTTAACGATGTCGTAATTTAAATAAATAAAAATCACAAATGGGAATTAATTCCATGTTATGTTAAATGTGTTTATTGAGAGGCGAGCAGCAACAATTGGACGATTGGATGAAGTGAGGGAAACGAGAAAAATTATTTATAATCCAATATGTTTTTCTACTTCAATTTACATACGATTGCCTTGTTCAATGATTTTATATATACTTTTTCTGGTGTAGTCGCTGCACTATTGCACTCTCGTCGTAATAAAGCTCTTTCCACATACAGACATTATATAAAATGGATATTACTTTGCCTTGTTTCATTTGTAACAAAGTGGCATTATCAATGCTTACAAATGTTTTGGAGACAAATAAGAGAAATTGAATAGTTTTTGCTTTAAAGCAATTCCTACAATGTTGAAGAGGTCTTTTGGGGTCGTTCATTTATTACATTTGGTTTTTGTCTAGGTGAGGGGGTCTGAGATTTTGTAGCATATTGCAACATTGGTATAGCTGAGGAGGATCAAAAGGGGGTCCAGAATCAACACAATTTTAAGAGATTGCTGCTTCTTTCTACGATTTGTGGATCCATGATGGCATCACAAGACTACAAAGTTGCATAAAGTCAATTAGAATCCAAATGGCTAAAGTCAACTATATTGTATTCTTAAATGACTTTGTTTTTATCAAAGTAAAGAAAATTGTCTTGTAATAATGTCATGTAAGAACTGCCATTTACAAAGGACTGACGAATGAGTTAGTAAAAGACTTAAATAAAGCTAAATTGTATTTATTTTACAGATAGAACTTTATTTTCATCGGAAGTGGAATCAAGGAATCTTTTATTTAAGCTGCAGTCTGTATAGAGACTGTTGTCTGAAATAAAGAGAAAGTTGACTCTATGACAGTGCATCTTGAATCCATTACTTCTTATTTATAAAGGCTTAATGATCAGCTTATGATCAAATTGAAAAAATTCCAAAAATCCTCGTGTTATTGATCGAGAGACTTCAGCGCATTTTTGACGCAGCGAAAAATTGCACTACGAAAACATAAGATATAGTATAATTAAATGATTTGTTCCAATGAATTTCCATATAGAAAAAATTTATCTTTTAACGGTTTTTTTGAGATTCAAAATTTTTTAACGGTAGGAATAAATTCAAATTTCTAAACGCTCTCATCACGTGTTTTTTCATATGAAATATAAAAATCATTAATTATAGAACAAAAACACTGTTTCAAGACTTTTAAATACGATTGCCGAAAATAAAACAATGGATCTGAGCTAATAAAACAAACTAGAACTCTCTACGATGTCTAGTTAAAAAGTTTTTCTGCACCTGAACGAACGAACGAACAAAGTGAATTCAAAAATGCGCTAAAAAACATCCCAAATTGCTAAGCCAGGCGTAAGACTGGCAATTTCAATCGAATTTCGATTCCTAGCTTCCCTCACGAAATTTTCTGTCACTATTTTGTGGCTTTTGCCATTCAAACTTTGTCTCAAAACATAGAGGATCGGAGATAATTTAGTTCTAGTAGATTAATGTCCACAAGACGTTTTAATCTTTAAGCTCTACATTTGACACAACCAGGGGCGTAGCCAGAAAATTTTTAAGGGGGGGGGGGGCCCATTTTCGAAAATTAAAAAATCGTTATTTTGTATCATTAAATTTAAATTCATTCTTCATAGGTTTAAATATTTAATTCATTATTCATACATTAAATTTATTTTCTCGTGCTGATTTTGCAATTCTTTCATCACTTCCTCTACATTAACTGGTTCTTCTCTATAAATACTTAATAAAACAATTATCAGATTTTCGTAGGGGGGCCCGGGCCCCCTATGCCCCCCCCCCCTCCCCTCCTGGCTACGCCTCTGGACACAACATAGGACTGAACAGAACTGAATGTCTAAATGAAACCACAACCTTGATGCCAATTCTCCACTGAAATTTGGATTATAAAAAAAGACCTTAGAAAAGTATTTGTTAAAATTTAAAAAAGATTTCCGATTACAGAATTGAATTAAAATCTCTCAGCAACACATTATGTAAAATGCAATCTCAAAGTAGCTGATACAGACAAGATAGAATATCCAATTAGTAGCCACAAAATTACTAAAAGCAAATTCATTTTTAAACCACAATATCCAGAAAAAAGATCTTCGATTCCGTTATCATAACAGCACATCAAACTTTCCTTCAGCTACAGCTACAATTTTGAATCCCATGATACCAAAAAAAGAATTTCTCGTAGCTTTCAAGGAAGTTGATATGATATTCCATGCACATCTATGTGTTCAGCCATAAATTTCTCAATTTTAAAAAAAAGCTTCAAGAAAGCAAAAAGAATGAATTCACGTGTAACAACTAAAATTGGAATTTTATGATCGACATTTCTTCTCTTCTCCTCTAAGTACCCATCCAGTGCTTATAACATTTGAATTAAAATAGAGAAATTTTTTGCAATTTTTTTCAATTTTCTTTTATAGCCTCGTTTTGGAAGTTATTTTATTTTTTTGCAGCTATATAGCAATGCTTTATATTTGATGCAGCTGTCTTATACATTTTACAATTTCAAAATGCATTTTGAATAGTTGAAATGTTCTTCTTTTTGTTGTTGTTGTTGTTCGTTTTTAGACTGAAATAATGGAGAAGCGAGCGAGGAACAACACAGCGAGAAAGAAGGTGAAGTGTAAGCAATTTTACATGTGGAATTGAATGGATGGAATCGAAACTGTTGAAATTGCCATAATAAAACAATATATATAATGCTATAGAACTGTACGTATGTGCTTAAACCTTCCGTCAAACTCAATTTGAAGAAATTAACCCGATCAGTACACAATATTGTGATTGGAT